GACTTATCCATTTAACTGTAGGGAGAGCGTGGGAGAAAGAGAGAGGAGAGTAGAGCCGTGTGCGAAAGAAGAGAGAACGGAGATGGAAGAGGATCATATACATATATATAATATATATATATATATATTTAATATATACACAACACCACACCACCACACCAACACACACACAACACACACACACACACACACACACACACACAACACACATCACCATTCTTCTCCGACTCCACTTCATCACAAGGAGATAAGGTAAGAACGACTTGCTCCGCAAACAAGTCACTTTATTTTAAATAAAAAAAAACTGTATTTTGGAATTATTCTTATTCCTCATAACTTAAGATATGCAGAAAGTAAACTTCACTCCCTACTTGACTGACCTTGATAGATTAAATATTTATGCCCTTTCACAAAATCATTAAATATTTTATAATTAAACTTCATTATTGATAAAATGCACAATTCAATTCATACACTTTTATATAATATTGATATATTCTGAGGCTTCTCGCTCATTCAATTTTCCCCGCTTTAGTCCATTCACTGGGTTTTTATTCTTGAGCGGCGACTCTGTCTTCACGATTCGAACCATCACGAATTCGTGTCTTAGCATAGAAAAACACCCGAGAATTAATCCGTAATACATTTAATCGTGAAATAAGCTTGCGCAAAGAATTATAAAACCCAAGTACATGGATGACACTCCGAAATGTGTAATTCTTTTGTTTCTTTTGATCACACTGTAGCGTAAAGAGAACGTGACTCTCCGAGTAAATACATATATAAATAGTCGAATTGCAAAAGTATTGCGAATTAAATCCGCTTACGTTAGATAAGCGACAATATAATCAACTCCAGTACTTCTATTGTACAATAAATAGGTTTAATGGCCAAATTTGGGATGCGCATTCACAGATGGAAAGATAACTTTCGCTAATTCAACATGATATATATACGATATATACCTTGGCATCAGTTACGCGATTAGCATTTTTCTGGTGATTTAATAAAAATGGCTTCTGTACAATTGGTTAAACTGTGTGTGTTATCTATTTCTGAAATTGGAAATATTGAAGGCTCCGCACTTCCATAACGGCGAAGTGTGTACCAGGACAGAACCTCGTGTAGATAGAACTATATTTCACTGCTGCAATTTAATATAGTGTCTCCTTAAGATCGCGAATAGGAGGGGGACCACTGTCCATCCACTCGAGCTTCTTTACGATTTCGAATTATTTATATTGAAGCACCATTGATGGTGTCTCTACCACCTCCGCCTTCAGGGAATATATGTTTAAATCGGCTGATTATCTTGACTATTCGTCTCGCGGTAACCATTTCTATGGTTCGCTGAAAACTTTGCTGACTCAGTATAAACAATATTTTAAATGTCGTCCAAGCAAACCCTTGTCATCATTTTCTGCTTATGAATGGAATGAGCGTAAGAAAAAAACTGAACTAAGATACATTCATATTTTGAAAAATAGTTTTGTATCCTTTTTTTAGTTTGTATGTTATGGCCGCATTGACTCCTTGTTTCAGCCGAGTTATTAGCATAAAGAAAACAAAACAGTTCATGATGGAAACGTAAACGACAAACCGAAAGTTCTAAAAGAATGATTGTTAAAAAGTAGCAAACATATCGCCCGGTATTCCTAACGAGATAATTGTCAACTGCTGCAAGGAAAATCAAAAACAAATTCAAATAAAAGAAAAAGCTGCAGACCAAGGAAGTTCGAACCAGGTATGAATATGTGGGGATGAAGAAGAGGATCATCGAAAAATGCCAAAGAGGGATTGCTAGAAATGAAGTGGAACTGCGAGTATACAAATGAGGACATTCAGTTGGCTTATAGCTCTATAAGCCAAGAAGAATTTTTCAGTATGTATATTTCTATTAATTTCTACTAGGGTTGATTAAATGTTTCAATAAGTAAATGAATTTCTGGTTTGCATGTGTTAATTGACTAAACTATTGATCTGCCACATCGTTTATTGAGCTTTCATAAGTTAGATGTGGAGAATTTATTTTGTCATATATAATATTAAAAGAAACGTAATTTGTTTGCATTTGCAAATTTTCCTATAGCTTGTGGATTAATACTTCCTTCTTATCAAAACTTGCTCATCCATATTCATTGCTATTTTAATTCATAATGCACAAGTACAGTAAAATGACTGGGAGTAAGGATTGCGGGATCATGAAAATGTGACATTACCAATATCTATTCCTTTAAGGGCAACATTATCCTTTTATTCAACAAGACTCTTCTGTATTCATATTAAGAGAGGAATTTCAAGATTGAGATAATCAAGCTCTCCAGTAATAAATGTTTATTTATAGTATCCGTGTATGTATTTGCAATTTCAATATAAACCAACTTTTGTGGCTAGCCTGTAGTTTCCAGGCAGGCCCTAATTTTTATTTATTTAATCCATGGCCTGCGGTAACGGAAGCATTGTGCGGAAGCATGGCCAATTCTCTTCACCAAATCTAGTCTTACTTACGCTGCTGAGCTTTACATCTTTGTAACACAGCTATAGAAATTGATTATGATTTGATTAGAATAATACAGCTAATTTTGTTTGCAGGGAATGAACCAGGACTGCCTCACAGAAATCATCAGCGCGGTTTATAGGCACCGACAGGCTTTATCAATATAGATAATATACAAGTTATCCAGAGAGGAACTTAGTTCTGAAAACCATCATAGTCAAAATTATTAATTAACATACTTAGATAAGTGATTAGAAAGCCTTTCTGTTCATGGCTTACTCAGGCTGTCATCTTCTTCATATTCCTCTCTATCGTTTTTTGGGTGTGCCCAACCTCTTTTCCCATGCCAGTTTGATCTATTAAACTATATTGTGTCTTGCTATAAGTACCCAACAATAGCATTAATACTGAAAAACTGTTGTTCAACACGCAAGGATGGTTCTTTGTGTATGTGATACCAGTCGATTTCAGTATTGTTATTTGGTTCCAATTCCTTTTGATGCTATGCCGTTTTTATGTAATTCTTATAATTATCTTCTTTATGCTCTAGCGTTCTCTCAAAAAACTTCATTTCAGCCGCTGCTATTCTATTCCATTCTTTTTGTTTGTATCCAGCTTTCACACCTTATTAGGTACATTTAGAAAGCCATGTCTCCTAAACATTTATTCTGTATTCTGCTTTGTCTTTAATTTTTGATTATTATGTACAGTACACAAATTTCATTAAACCCTTTCCAATATAATATTATATTCCAGTATGTGACATTTTTTGTACAATAAATGGACTTAATAGTGTAATTATTCATTAAACATTCATAAATAATGTTCCTGTAGTAGCAAGTTATAAGTTTTATTTGCCCATGCACTATTTCCACCTCCTAAATCACTATACTCTTATGTTACGTCTCATAAAACTCCTCGTAAAATATCTCAAAATGGCCGTATTCTGTACACTCACAACGGGTTAAAGATGTCAAGGACTGAAAGTGTTTAAGTTACTTATCTTTCACTAGCCTCTTTAATATTCATACCTGCATTCACTATTAATTGACCAAGCATTTTTGAAAGTCTGTTATTGCGGCCATTGCAATATAGTTTGTGTAATAATGTTTTGAATTTCTTCTAGAACATATTCATTTCATAACCAATATTCAGATTAAATGTGTGAGATGTATATTTCACATTTATTGAATTAATGGTAATGGGTTGTTTTTTTAAATTATATATTAAATAATGAGAAAAGTGGAAAATTGAAATATTAGTATAAAAATTTCTGATAAAATGAAATGCCATTTGTACATTTTTTAATATTGCAATATTTGTTATGTCCAAATATTCAATTAGCTTTAGTTTTTAAAAGATTAAGATAATGCAAATTCGTGTGAAAGGTGCATTTTAATTTTTTTTAATGTATATTGTGTTTTGACTTTCATTAACTTGATATTAGCATGCTGATAGAAGACTATCCCCCAATGACTTATTATCTGAAACCTTTGTTTTTCTTAGGTGCTTGGGAGAAAGCACCATGCATGCTGAAGCATACTAATTCCAGATTTATATATAGATAAATTCTGACATCGAGAAAACATAACATCATTCGTGACATTATATATTCTCTCTAAAACAATTCGACTGTGAACATCATATGCAATGGTAAACTGAACACTAAATCCACCGGCCGGCTACCCGTCATATCGTGTGCATTTACACAGGGAGTTAGTGTGCGCATGTCAAACCCACAGAACTTTCTGCCAGATTGAGAACAAATAATGCATCTCTGCAGATTTCTTTGTTTTTTGTGAGCTACGCTATTTGAACCTGCCAATCCAATTTTGCCTCTTTATGATGATATTGATCTTTTTATCTGCAGTTGGAGGGAGCATGGGAAGGTGTTGTCCTAGTAGATTTGTTGTCTGCGATTTCTCATCTCCTTCTACATTTTCTTCCTCTTCTCTATTGCCACCTTCAATCTGACCAACTGTCGTGAGCTAATTCTAATACTGCCATTTTACTTATTTCCTTTACCGTGTCTCTTCTTTCTCATTCGACCTAGTAAACTTCCTTGTGAGACATATCGGCATGTGACTTTATACGAAATATGGAAGAAAGAAAGACTTACTGCCTAGAATATACATTTTGCTTCAAACATGCAAATGGGGGATTTTGCAGTTCAGAATCAAGGTTTTTTATTTAGCATATGGATCTGACCCTAAAGTATATAATACAATATAAAAAAAACAAACAATAACGATAATAGTAACAGATTAGGCTCATAATCGTGTTCGTCAACCTATCGCACATCATCTATAGTAATAACCCACAATGACGGAGACTGAGTCACTAGGATCCCATTGTCTGAACCTATGTTGCCAATTCTACTTACGCATACTAAAGGGCTTGTTTAGCGTGTATTTGTCACAAGTTCTGAGTTTTGTAGTATTCTTATAGTTGCTCTAGCATTATATACATGTATTCTTTTTTTTATTTTGGTCAGTTTACTAAATTAAATATTTGTATAATACTGTCAAAACAGAGTAAGGTTATAGTCATCTGCCTTCTCTTGATGATTGCAACAAGTGCGCCTATTATCTCTCTAGATTTCTGTTTCTGGGTATTCCTCTTTATTAGCACAGTGAAGTACTTACTTTATTCATGTATGGCTGTGTATGCATCAGGAAACGGAGAGGTCTTGCCGTCGTCTTCTCAGCCCAAACTTCACTCATAAGGGGTTGCAGAAGTCCTAGTTTTGGAGTGACCTCATCAGTTGACTTTCTTTACTTTCCCCGAGGTTCATTTCACCAAGTCCAGCACTGAGCCAGAGCTATATCATTCTGCACTAGACAGTATCGTGTTTTACTAGAGGAATATTTCATGGGGAGATTCTTATTGTGAAAAAGGTTATTCGGTCAAGGACTTTATTTCCATATTCCCTTTCGTGTCGTGCAGTTTTTCCAATAATGTGTTCTTTCCAACAGGGCATTTTTAAGGTAAAAGTGAGAGGTGCTACAAACATCAATACTTTCTCACATTATGTACACATGTAAACGTAATATTTAGAATACTATTTTAGGCGCCAGGAAAATCTTGTGGTTGCACCTGCTGTGTGACAGTGCTACAAAACAGGAAAAATTTTGTGTTTGGGGCCTGAAAAGCTGGCAGCGTTGTAAGGAAAAAGAAAAAAAACAAATAAGTAGCGTACTTCACCAAATGTCATTATAAACTTGCTGGAAACGTATTCCCATCCAATAACTTGTTTTTCCTAGTTTATTTGGGTTGCTTACTTAACCTAATTACAATTTATTAAAAAAAATGACTGTCTCATGCGGAGAGCTTTTGTGCCACCCTTTACTTAACTTCGCACAATATTATCCTGTATCTCTGTCCGACAACTATCCCTGCGTGGCGCCCGTAACGCAACCAGGGGAAACTTACCTTACTGACAACTCTCAAGAGAAAAAATAGACTCTTGAGAGCGGAACGGGCCACTAGGCCCAAACCTTGTTGCTGATGATGATGATGATACACATATTCTTCTCCGACTCACTTCATCACAAGGAGATAAGGTAACGACTTTATTTTAAATAAAAAACTTATTTTGGAATTATTTCTTCAGTCCTCATTAACTTCAAGAGATGCAGGAAATGTAAACTCCACTCCCTATTGGCTGACTGATAGATTAAATATTTATGACCCTTCACAAAATCATAAATATTTTATAATTTGAACACTTCATTATTGATAAAATGCACAATTCATTCAGAAACTTTTATACTAAATATTTGATATATTCTGAAGCTTCTGCCGCTCATTCAATTTTCCGCCGCTTTAGTCATTATACTTGGGTTTTTATGTCTTGGCGTCCGATACCTTGTCTTCACGATAGAATATCTCACGATATTTCGTGTCTTTCGCATTGAGAGAAACACCCGAAATACCGTAAGATATTTCATCGTGAAGATAAGGCTTCGCGGGCAAAGAATTAAAAACCCAAGTACAGATGACACTCAAATGTGGAGATTCTTTGTTTCTTTCTGAATCACATGTAGCGTAAAGGGAAACGTGACTCTCACGATGTAAACTACTATATATAAATAGTCGCATTGCAAAGTATTTGCGAATAAATCCGCTTAGTTAGATAAGCGACTATAACAACTTCCAGTACCTTCTAGTGTACATAATAGGTTAATGGCCAATTTGTATGCGCACTCACAGAGAGGAAAGATAACCTCGTCTCTAATTGCAACAGTATATATACCGATATATACCCTCTGGGGATCAGTACGCCGATTACGCATTTTTCGGTGATTTAAAAAAGAGTGTGGCTTCTGATAGATGGTTAACTGTGTCGTGTTATCTATTTTCTGAAATTTTGATATTGAAGCTCCCATTCCGATAACGGCGAAGTTGTGTACAGGACAGGACCTCGTGGTAGATAGAACTATATTCACTGCTGCAATTTAAGTATAGTGTCTCCTTAAGATCGCGAATTAGGAGGGGGACACTGTCATCCATTCGGAAGCTTCGTTACGATTTCAATATTTAATATTGAAGCACCCGATTGGATGAGTGTCTCCTACCACCTCCGGCCTTAAGGAATTACTATGTTTAAATCGGGCTGTTATCTGTGTTTTCTTCCGTGGTATTACCATGTGATGGTTCGCTGAAAACTTGGTGCTAGAATAAAAATATTTAAAATGTCGCCAAGCAAACCATTGTCTTCATTTTCTGCTTATGAAGTGGAAATGAAGCGTAGAAAAAAACTGGAAGCGGTAAGAATACATTCTATTTTGAAAAATAAGTTTTGTATCCTTTGTTATAGTTTGTAGGTTATGCCGCATGCCTCCTTGTTTCAGCGAAAGTTATTAGCAATAAAGAAAAACAAAACAGTTCATGATGGGAAACGTAAAGACAAACCGAAAGTTCTAAAAGAGATGGTACTTGTTAAAAGTGGAAAAATCGCCAATATTCCTAACGAAGAAATTGTCAGAACTGTGCCCAAGGGAAACAAAAAACAAATTCAAAATAAAAAGAAAAAAGGTGGCAAGACCAAGGAGAGTTCGGAACCCATGGATGATGAATATGTGACTGAAGAAGAGGAATCAATTCAGAAAAATGGCAAAGCAGGGGATGTGCCTATGAGAGATGAAAGTGGAACTGACAGTATTAAAGATGGAAGAGATGCATTCAGTTGGCTTATAGCTCCTATTAAGCCAGAAGAATTTTTTCAGTAGGTATATTTCTATTAATTTCTACTAGGTTGTTGAACATGTTTCAGATAAGTAAATGAAATTTTGGCTTCATGTGTTAATGACCTGAACTATTTGATCTGCACATGTTTTATTGAGCTTTCATAAGGTTAGATGTGGGAGGAATTTATTTGGTCAATGATAATATTAAAAGAAATCTGTAGTTTGTTTGCATATGCAAATTGTTCCTATAGCTTGTGGATTAAACTTCCTTCTTATCAAAAGTGCTCATGCCATATTCATTGCTATTTTTAATTCATAATGCAACAATGTACAGTAAAAGTGAGGGAGTAAGGATTGCGGGGATCATGAAAATGCGAGATTACAATATTATTCCATTAAGGCAACATTCATCCTTTGTAGTTTCAGCCAAGACCTTCTGATGATTCGTATTAAGAGAGGGAGATTCACATTGAGATAATCAAGCCTCAGTAATAAATGTTTTATTTAATATGTATGTATGTATTTGGCAATTTTCAATTAACCCAACTTTTGCTGGCTAGCTGTATTCCCAGGCATGGGCCCTAATTTTTATTTATTATCCATGGCCTGGGGGTAAGGGAAGCATGTTGCGAGCATGGCAAATTCTCTTCACCAAATCTAGCTTACTTAGCCTGCCTGAGCTTTATCTTTTGTCACACAGCTATAGAAATTGAGAGGATTTGATTAGAAAGATACAGCATAATTTTTGCTTTGGCCGGGAATTGAACCGGGGACTGCCTCACAGAAAATCAGCGTGCGGTTAATAGGCCACCCAACAGGCTTTATCAATATAATAAATACAAAGTATCCAGAGAAGACTAGTTTCTGGAAAACCATCATTAGCCAAATATAATTAATTAACATACTTAGATAATGTGATCTAGAAAGCCGTCTTCTGCACTTCATGGCTTAGCTCGAGCCTGTTCCATCTTCGCAAGTATTCCTTCTATCGTTTTTTGGGTGTGCCCAAACCTCTTCTTCCATGCAGTTGATCTATCTAAAACTAATTTAGTCTTGTATAAAGTAACCAAAATAATTAAATACTGAAACAACTGGTATCAACACACCAGAGGATGGATTCCTGTGTGTGTGGTGATACCAGTTGTTTCAGTATTTAGTTATTTTGGTTCCAATTTCTTTGGCTTGCCGTTTTTATCGTAATCTCATTATGAATATGATCTTCTTTAATGCTGCCTAGCGTTCTCCTCAAAAATTTCATTTCAGCGGCCTGTATTCTACTTCCAGTTCTTTTTGTTGGTATCCAGCTTTCATCACCTTATAGACGAATTAGAAGAGCCATTGTCTTATTTTTTAGTGTATTATGTACAGTACCACAAATTCATTAAAACCTTTCCAATGAATATTATATTCAGTATGTTGACATTTTTTTGTACAATAAATGGAAATTAATAGTGTGTAAGTTTCATTAAACATTCCAAATAAAAGCAAGGTTGAAAGTTTTATTTGCCATGCATTTTATACACCTATCTCTAATTTATCACTTGATAAAACTCTCCTAAATATCTCAAACTGGCCAGGATTCTGTAATTAACAGGGTGTTAGAGTCTCGGGACTGAAAGTGTTAAAGTTATTAATTTCATAGTTTTAAGATTTTATAACCTTTATTCACCATTAATTGCCAAGATTTTTGAAATCTGTTGGGCAGTTGGAAATAGTTTGTGTAATAATGTTCGAATTTCTTCTAAACATATTCATTTCATAAAATATTCAATTAAATGTTGAGGAGGTGATATTTCATTTTTGAATAATGTTTTATGTTTGTTTTTTTAAATGTAATATATCTAATAATGAAGAAAAGTGGAAATTGAAATATTTAGTTTTAAAAATTTCTTAAAAATGTATGCATTTGTACATTTTCATTAATATTGCAAGTAATTTGTTATGTCCAAAATTACAGATTAGCTCTTAGTTTTTAAAAGATTACACAGAATAATTGCAAATTAAAGTGAGTTGAAACATGTGCATTTCAATTTTTTTAAAAATTATAATTGTGTTTTGACTTTCAGCAACTTTTGAATTTAGCAATTCTGATAGCAAAAGTAACTATCCCAATGACTTATATCTGAAAAACTTTGTTTTTTCTAGGAATGCTTGGGAGAAAGCACCACTGCATGTGAAGCGAACTAATTTCCCAGATTATTATAGAGAAATTCTGACATCCGAGAAAATACATAACATCATTCGTGACACTTATATTTTATTCTCTAAAAACATTGATGTGACATCATATCGCAATGGTAAACGTGAGACACTAAATCCACCTGGCCGTGCTACCCCGTCTATAGTGTGGGATTTTTACAACAGGGGATGTAGTGTGCGCATGTTAAACCCACAGACTTTCTGCCCAGAATTGAGAAAATTGAATGCATCTCTGCAGGATTTCTTTGGCTGTTTTGTGGGAGCTAACAGTTACTTGACACCTGCCAACTCCCAAGGTTTTGCCCCTCATTATGATGATATTGAAGCTTTTATTCTGCAGCTGGAAGGGAAAAAGCATTGGAAGGTGTATGCTCCTAGGTAAGAATTGTTTGTTTGCTGCAGATTTCTCATTCTCTCTTTCTTCTTCTCCTCTCATTCTGCCACCCTCTCCATCTCGCCCAACCCCTTGTCTGTGAGTATGTTCTTTAATCTCTGTCCTTTTCTATTTTTTCCTTTACGGATGTCTCTCTTTCTCTTGACTAGGAAACTTCTTTGTGAGATAATAGGCATTGTGCATTATACAAAATATGCGAAGAATATATTTCTAGATATATTTTGCTTCAAAAATGCAAATTTGAATTTAGCAGGTTTCAGAATCAAGGTTGTTTTTATGTAGCATAGTGGATCTGACCCTAAAGTATATATAAATAATAAATATAACAACAATAACGATAATAGTAACAGAATTCAGCTCTATCGGTTTGCACTATTGCACACATCTACTAGTAAAAAAAAACACAAATGACTGAGACTGAAAGGCTCACGAGGGATCCCATTGGTCTGAACGTTATGTTGCCCAATTCTACCTTACGGCCTGTACTAAAGTGGCTGAGTTGCGTGTCAATTTGTACACAAAGTGTTCTTGAGTTTTGTAGTGATTCTTTTTTTATTTTGGTCAGTTATTTAAAACTATAATAAATTTTATGATATACTGTCAAAAACAAGAAGTGCAAGCTAGTGAGTCTCTGGCACCTCGCTTGATGATTGACATCAATAACAATTGCAACAATTGCGCCTTGACTTTCATCTGTCTATTTCTGTTTCCTGCTATTCCTCTTGAGTAGCAGCAGTGAAGTATTTACTTATTCATGTATGTTGTGTATGCATCAGGAAACCTGGAGAGGTTTTGCCTCGCTTCTCAAGCCCAAACTTCACTCAAGAGGAGTTGCAGAAGCCTGTTTTGGAAGTGACCCTGCATCCAGGTGACTTTCTGTACTTTCCCCGAGGGTTCATTCACCAAGCCAGCACTGAGCCAGGCCATCATTCCTTGCACCTGACAGTATCGTGTTACCAGAAGAATTCGTGGGGAGATCTTTTGGAAAAGGTATTCGTCAGACTTTTTGCCAATCTCTTCGTGCCGTGCAGGTTCCCCAATAATGGGTTTTTTCAAAGCATTTTTAATAAAGTTAGAGGTGCTACAACATCAAATACTGTCTCGCATTAATTGTAACTGTAACGTAATATTACAATACTATAGTGCGCCAGGAAAATCTCTGTGGTTGCACCTTGCTGGTGACAGTGCTACCAACAGAAATTGTGTTGGTAGCTGCAGCATGTAAGAAAAGAAAACAGAAGTAGCGTACTCACCAGAATCATAAAAGCTGCTGGAAACGTTTCCCCCATCACTTGTTTCCTAGTGATTTGGTTGCTACTAACATTAATACAATTTTTATTAGGAAACAATGACTCGTCTCAGTGCGGAGAGGCTTTTGTGGCGCCCTTTACTTGAATCCACAAAATTATTTGGTGTTGGTGGGATTCAAAACCAGGTAATTGGGTTTAGTAAACCAATACCGCAGTCACCTACGGCATAACAACTGTCTCAGTGTTTTAATAAGAAAATTGACCATTTACAATTTTCAAAAATTTAGAAGTTTTAGTGGCAAATGTGTAAGTTTGAGTAAGAAAAAATTAAAATAAAGAAAAGGTTTGCAATTTGGAGAAAATCATGTAATTTTTTTAAGCGTCACAATGTCATTAAAAATTACAGCAAAACTTCTCGTATTTTTAAAAAAATTCGCAGGACATCATTAAAGATGTAAGTTCAAAAAAAAATGTTATTGAGAGGTAATCTCCATCTTGAATATTGTGCCAGTAGGAAGCCACTGATAAAAATTTAAACACTTGCTATTTTCGAAGTTTAGAGAGTTCAACAAACATCTAACCAGCATCATTTTTATGAGTACTAGCTCTATTCAAGAAAAAAGAAACTGATTTTATTAAGAAACAAATTTCCATCTTCAGTGTTGTAATTTTAGGAAGACACTGAAAAAATATTTAAACTTCTGCAATTGGGAAAACTCAGAGAATTCAATGAAAATTAAACCTTTTACAAGTTTTTCCTCTATTAGACAAATAAAAAAAGCAAATATTTATTGTGATTTTTTTAGAAAATATTGTAATATTGTTGAGCCTTAATGAGAAAACCCTCAAAAGTTTCAAACACAAGTGGACACAACATCAGCCAGATAGGTTTTTTAGCGTTTTATCATTTGAGTGCATACAGGTTCTCTAAATCTGTTATTGTTTTTATGGTCATTCTAATTCGTTCCTGTATTTGCTAGATTTTAGTGATCTGTGTTGCATTCTTGGTTATTTATTAATATTAAAGAAGCCCATTTTGCTTTTGTCAGACTTGAGATCCGAGTCTCTGGAAGAAACAGACCTGCCCTTTTCCAATCCATTGATGATGTATTTTTCATCCATTGTTTTACATACAAACAACCTAGGTTACTTTGGTGTGCTTGAATGTGGAACAGAGCCAATTTACTCTTTCCAAGTGTTTTCTATGTCTAGAATACCATGCATTTTGAACATGTGTTTAAAAGTTACCGGAGTAAAACTTTGAAGAAAAAGAAAGAAGAAAACTTTTTTTTCTCTCAAAGGAAAGATCATTGCCTCTGAAAACCTCTACCAAATTTCATTTAACAAGTCACAAATTTTGAATTTGTTGTTCACTACACAAGTGCCTCCAAAATTTTCGTTCTTTCACCACATTTATCATAACATTGTTTTGTTGTTTTTGAAAGGATGACCTTTAAAGATGAATCTTTGGGAACTTTGGGTGCTAATAATTGCTAAAACTTTCACATTTCTGAGAACTTTTTGGAAAGAAATATTGTCATTGTAAGTTCTTTTGGATTAATACTCGATTTTGATTGCAATATTGTTACATGTTATTGAATGTTGCAGTTACTACCTGCAGCTCTTGCGGTGGCTCAAGAGGAAGATGTTGAGTTTCGTAAAGGTCTGCCATTGAATTATCTGCGCCATGCTGGTGTGAGCAACAGTGAGCAGGAAACTGCAGAGCGGCAGGAGTTTTTTGCACATCTCCAAAAGTTACTTGGCCGCCTCATGGTCCACGCCCCTGTTGATGCTGCTGTGGACCAAATGGGCAAGCAGTTTATGCACGACGCATTGCCACCCGTCCTTACCACAGGTACTTGAAATGGAATATCCACTAGTTTTAGAGTTCTTTGGTATGGTTTTGTGTGGATAGGCGAGCAAATGCCTGAAGTTCTTTCGCAATTAGCTTACTCCACTCCCAGATCCAGGGTCATGTCATTGTCCTTAGGTTTTTCATACATCCTTTCCAACCATAACATATTCAGTGAATATACTTCTTTCCTTTTTATTTTGCCAGAGTTTAGTAATAAAAGTTCATAGTTTGCATGATTTATTTCAATAAAATTAATTAACTTTTATTTACTTCATTAAATGTGTTTGAATATTATCATTGAAAGTAAGTCATGTTAAGTTCACATTCATGTCATGAATGTCAAAACTCTACAAGTCATGAATGTATTCAAAACTCAAAATTTATTACAAAGACTTAGGCCAAATAATTTTAATAACTTACTACAAAGGCACAATTCCAAAACTTATGTCAAAGGAAATAAGAGCTTAAACTATCAAGATAAGAAAAATTAAGTGCACACAGAAAAAATCATTGATCAAATGATTTCAGTTATTTGTAAGAAAATAATCTTGTATCATCTTATAAAATTCAAATCGTACAAACATCTTTCTACAAGGAATCAATAAGTATCAAAATATAGTATTTGCATTTAAATCTAACATTTTTCTCAGATTAACTGGAAATTATCAAAATTCATTCAAAAGACATTTGAATTAAAGGAAGAGTGGCAAAGTCAAATTTTTCACAACATGAAGCAAAGGTGGAGAGTTCATTAGGTTTCCTGGAGGAACTTATGAAGAAAATCAGTTTGTTTTGTATCCAGGGAAGGAAGAAGAGCCTGATTCCAGCAAAATGCCACATTTTTCTGGAAATTAATTTTAAAACAAATTAGTTTCTTCATTGTAGCACCTATGATGTGGCTGGATGGACTCCACAGAAAACTTGTTGATACTAATCACCAGTCTGGAAAAAATAGGTTGTATGAAACATCAAAGTATATACCCAAATATGTAATGAAAACAGTAGGAATATGCAGTAAGTGTGTAAAATGTAATATAATATGTAATATTAAAATACACTTATTGCAAAATGCATTTACGTAATAGAGAGTTACTTTTAGAAAAAATTTCCTTAACAATTTTTAAAAATAATACGAACATTTTAAAAATCATTTGAAGGTCACAAGTTGTGCACATTTTGCACCATACAACTTTCCCACCAGTAGTACAAACTTTGACCATTGTTATCCAGAACCGTTTAGCAGCCTGGCCATAGCAGCCATCGTTCAAACTGGTGAAATCTAAACAATCACTGCAATGTGCAGCATTTTAATTGAAGTGTTACACATTGGCAATCGCCAAAGTTTCTTTGAAATTAGGGCTAAATATCATGAAACATAGTGTCGGTGATACTCTTCACACCTAAAGGTAAAAATGATCTGTCACTGTCATGCATCTCCTGCTACTGAGATAATTGAATTAGGCGCGCCGGACTGTGAGGACATCCAACCATCTCTTCATGTAGGCAAATACCAAGCATGTAGTAAAAATTAGAAAAAATGCAGATAAAAAAATACATTTTTTCATAAAAGATGTGTAATAAAATTTAAGGAAATTGGTAGAATATAAAAATATTTATTAACAATAGCCGAATATGTAAAATCTGTAATATAGTACTAAATATGTAACAAAAAAATTGGATAATGTATTAGGATGGATGGCAATGATCCTTTTAGATTATAATTTTGAGAACGGTAAGTCGAACAACAAAAAATATGTAATTACACAAAAATCCAGTCTCTACTAATCTGCTCTCACGTGGTTTTTTTATGTTTCAAGCCAAGGCTGGACAGATTTTTGCTTTTTCTTTATGGGGGCAAAAGATACTGCAAATTCTGTAAAAAGATTGTTTGATTGCATGCAAATATTTGTGAGTGTGGGTGGTTTCAGGAGCTCATGTATTCAATTTCGCAATTTTAAAATTCTATCCAAAAATTGACATGTATTTCTATTCTTCAGAACAGACCCTTTTATTACGAACAAGAGGTTTGCTTTCCTCAGAATTAACACTGGCAATAAAAATTCTGTGCTTACAAAATTTGATAAACTATCCTTTTTCTTTGGCATTTACATTTTAAACACTTAATTGGAGGAAAAACAGTATGTTGGGAAATTGAAGAGAATGTCAGCTAACCTCCCCTATAAGATAAATCTTTATTTAAGGTAACCCACATAAACTAATTTATTTAAGTTTTTTAGCAAAGTAAACATTGGTTTTATTGTCTATGGAAATTTATCATTGTGGTTTATTGTGTTGAATTATTCCAATTTGTAGTAATAAACTATTGTAAACTACTAAATATCTACTATCTTCTTTATCTTAAATATGTCAAGAACATATATGACAATCTTCTGTTTGAGACATAGACAATGTTTTGAAAAATTTTATATTGTGGAATATTTTACCTAAAAGTAACAGATAAAATTGTGTGTAACACCAATTTTTACTTTTTCTTTCTGTTAATTGTACTTTCTTCATAATTAAATGTTATAAAAAGAATGCTGCCTGCAGTTATTTGTAATTCCAAAATTAAGAAATAAATAAATTTTCATGCACATGTAATGTTTATAGAATTACATTGTTTCATTATATATACTTTAATTATATTACTTATACTTAGTGTATTACTATAATAATAATAATAATAATAAAAATGTTTTAAAAATCTAATGTGTTGATTGGATTCATTACCTTACAGAAGAAGAAAAATGTTCTGTCTTTTCGGAGGAGCTTTTGACGATAAATAAAGATGGACGTGTTTCTGGTAGCGTTGCATTGAACTTGAGTACTAAAGTGAAGCTGCTTCGCTCTTTCATTCTTCGGTGAGTGTCTTGTAATTTTGTAGATCTGTATCCTTTTAGCTTGTGCTTATTCATAATATAAATCAAAATGCAAGCCTCTTAGAAATATTTTGATACCCATGGTACTAGCTGATGTGCAATTTATTTGTCTTAAATCCAGAGGTGTTAGCTTAAAAGGTTACGTACATTCTGAACCCTTCTGTATTTGGGGTTCTGTTTTCCTAACGAGGCATTACGAGAGCCTACAGTTCATAGAGTCTCTGTGACTAGAGTTTTCAGAATGATTTTATAATTTAAAAACTTCAGTAAGTCTCAAAGTTAGTATGATAATTTTAAATAGTATTTTGTCAGTTAGTTGTGTTTTATAAGTGTAGTGCATTACAGTAGACCTAAAATAATTTAATAAAGAAGAAATTGATTCAGAAGGAGCATTTTGCTTTCTTTGGATTTACAAGCGTATTTCCCATACAAATTTAAGAAACAATGGTGTAGTGCAACAGATTGCAAAATATCTTAACTAATGATTCAAAATTTTATATTCCTATTCTGTTCTTCAGTTAAGCAGCATTCTAGTTGCAGTGATTTAACATCAGTTTTGTGTGTTACAGTTTAGTGAAAGAAGATGATTCAAACGATAATGTGCAAGTGTATCATTGTGTTGACAATTCATTGGAATACCATGGAGAAGATCCCATGATGTTTGAAGTTTCTTCAGAATTTGCTGTGGCTGTTGAGCAATTGATTCATTCATATCCTGAATTTATATCTGTTTCGGATCTCGCATTGGACAGGAAGGAAGACCAGGTAAATCATCTAGGAGTAGATTAAAAGTAATTTGCTATAAAGGTGAAAAAATTAACCAACATTTAAGTAGTTTTTGATGTTATTCAGATGTTACCCTTAAAGATGCCTACTTCTCAAAATTAGTATTTCTTCATTTTCAATTCAATGACTTTTAAATTAGATATTGTTAATGGGCATTTAAATTTTGCCTTAAATAATATATGCATGCTTGGGTTAATAATATGTTTGGAAAGATGACATATTTATGAAATGAATATATGGAATAAGACTAGACTGCAGTCTTCAACGGAGAAAGACAATTCACTGGAATATATTATTAGATTAGTAAAATAATTGGATGCTCACTTCTTTTAGAACATTTGCTTCTTGAAATGTTATAATTGTTTGACATTTGTGCTTGTTGCAGTTGGAATTGGCTGATTTGTTGTGGAAGAAAGGCTTACTGTTGACAGAAAAGCCTTTGGCATAAAGCTGATTACTACATTTTCTTGAGTTAATTTTCATGCTTATTTGTGTAAACATATTTTACTTGAAATGATTGTAAAGATTTTCTGTTAATAATCTTTCTTTTCTTGAATAAAGATATGTACCCTTGTCATGTTTATAATTGCTTCTTTTCATCATTAAAATACTTAACCCTCGTGTACATCATTTTTCCATGTTTCATCGTGCTAACTCGAAATGATTTCTGTGCAATGCTACCATGAATGTGCATCATTCACTAGAAATTAGTACATATCCCTTGCATTTTAATGTATTGTGCTCAGATTTTCAAAAATTGATACATCTAAACAAATCTTTTGTTTTGTATGAATATTGTGTTTCATTATTGGTATGTAACTGTGCGAATCGGAATGTTTATGAATGTGTTTCTGTGAAGCAACGAGATTAATAAAAAAAAAGTATTATAGAAATATTGTAATTCAGTGTTTGAATTACAATTGTAATCAAGTGAATTACTGAATATACAAGGGTGGGTCAACTGAAAACTGTAAAAGTATAATAAAAAATCCAAATGTAGCGCTAGTATCCTGTAAGTTGATAGGCATGTTTGCAATAGTGTGCCAGATGTCTCCTATTTGGCATCATTGTGAAGAAACGCAAACTCCAGCAGAGGAACAGTGTAAAAATGGCTGCCCCACTAGCAAAGTGCACCAGAGAGGAACAGAATTCTGTGGCAAAGTGAAGATGTGAAACCTATTGACATTCTTCAACCAATGAAGGTTCAGTATGATGATGCCTGCTTGTCACTGCAGCAAGTGTACGAATGGTGTCGGAAGTTCGCAAATGGTGTGACATCTGTGGCCGATGCTCTGTGCCCAAGCCAGACACATCGCATTGTGATTCCAGAGACCATTGCAGCGGATGAAACAATCCTGATGGGCAACCGCCGAGTGACATTAGACGGCATTGCAAAAGCTGTACACATTAGTTATGGTTCAGCACGTCACATTGTGCATGATATGCTCCAATTTCAAAAGGTGTCTGCAAGATGGATGCCCCAACCACTGACCTCGGAATTGAAACAGCTATGCCATCAAAATGAAACGACCTGAAATGCTATCGGCAGGTGCTCTGCTGCAACACAATGCATGTGCAACTGTTGCGAGAATAGCAGATCAGAGATTTGATGCCCCCACATCCACCTTACTTGCCCGACCTTCCCCCGAGCAATTTCCACATGTTTGGGCCACTCAAAGATGCCAATAGGCAACAAGTTCCCCATGCGGTACACAAATGATGGCACAGTCTCCCCAAATATTTTTCCTTTTGCGGGAATTCAGGCACTTCGGAAGTGCTGGCAGATGCACATGGAGCGTGGGGAAGACTATGTCGAAAAGTGATCTAGTTTTGAACCATATGTGTACAATAAATAGTATTTTAAAAAATAATAACAGTTTTCATTTGATTCACCCTTGTATCAATTTTCATTCAGAAGAATTGCAATTTCAGAGCTTCAGAAATTCTTGTTACAGGACATTTTCAAACAGTAGAAATATTCAATTTGAATTTCAATAGGATTACCTACAAATCAATTGTTATAATGTATATCCTTAGCAATGTAAAGCTTGATTCAATATCTAAAAGATAGAAAGCAGATTTCAAATATTTCATAGGATAGAACAAAATGAAGTAGAGCCTTCACTAAGTGTGCAGTAATTCCACAAGCACAGACGGAAGCTACTTGCATGGGGAGATTATTCCGCTTTGAAGGGTTTAAAATTTATAATACAATGAAACCGGTTATGAGTGGCCTCTTAATTGTTTCAGCAGAAATTGGGTGTTGATAAAGGAGACTGCTTTTGAGTTACTCCATGTCTAATAGTATTCAATTGCTGTGGAAATAATGTTGCTTACCATCATAATAAATATATATATATATATATATATATATATATATTATAATATAATATATTATATATATATATATATATATATATACATATATATATATATATATAATTATATATATACATATATATATAATTATATATTATATATGATATACATATATATATTATATATTATATATATATATATATAGATATTATTCATGATCATCAAAACCTTTAGATCAAATTTCTTGTTCCTAGCACCACTTGTCATTTTCTAACATCTAAGACCCATTTATTTGGTGTGTTAATGAAGATTGTATTTGTTAAAGCTCAATGTAGATATCAGAATGAGATTCAACAGAGGAAAGGCAAACAGAAGCCTTAAACAAAGTTGGGAAAAAAAGCCGACAATTGGTTGAGTACAAGAAGCTATCTCCCTTCCCAAACACCTGTCACCAAAGTGGGGAAGTATACTTTCCCAGTCCCTACGTTCATTTTGACACCATAAATAATTGTCATTCTATCTGCAATATTCAGTCATATCTCATAATTTATTCAAATGAAAAATGAAATTTATAAAACTACAAGATACATTCATCACAATTTTTCACTGTTCTGTCTCCCTTATCAGGTGCTACAATTGAAAAAGGATACTGTTAACAATATTAATTAAGAATGAAGAATATAAAAAATAAAATTATACCCAATTCAAGGCGAAAGCTCATCTTGTATTTGAAACAAAATCTGCAACTAGTGTGGAAAAAATTATCTATGAATACAAAAACTTATTATGATTGAATTAACTCCATGATGGAGAGCAGTCCTGATGAATCAGCAGTCATGTTAAAAGGAAAGGCTATAATAGGAGAACATACATTATCATAAAGAGACAACCAAAATCAATATTTGTTTCATATCAAAGTGAGGTATCTAATGGGAATGGCAACTTAATTGTACTGGGGCCACCTAGACACAGCAATTTGGATGAAGTACAACTAAGCATCAGTATCAGGATGGCCACTTTCTGGAAAACTGGAAAAAATCAAGAAATTTGTAGAAAAAACCCGAAAGGTCAGGGAAAATTTTGAGACCAATGTATACTTAGATGTTTTTCTTTTAAAAAAAATTAATCCAACAAGAAACATTGACTCAATGTTTATATACATACATACATTTATTTAAAATGCAATTGGGTATGACCCGGTGATAGTCAATTAACCATAATTACAATAATAATAATAATAATAATAGTAGTAGTTCAATACAAGGATTCAATAATCATACTTTCGCTAATATTAAGTATTATAACAATTATTTCAATTCATGATATACAACAATTTTATGCTGGTTATACTAAAAATCAATACAAGGTACATAATTATTCACTAAATTAGATTTTTCAAAAAGGGATTGATCACATTCACTACACTATACTGTTTTGCTTTCAATTACACTGATCAGCACTTCACGGTGCTTAGTTACTCGTGTAATATCTTTTACCATCAGCTTGTTCTATCTTATTTCTCAAACTTCGGACATTTGAAGGAAAGGCTTTGAAAGTTTCTGCGGGTACACTGTTCCAATCTCTATTTGCTCTGTTACAAAATGAAAATTTCCCATGAACTGAATTTTGTTTCTTTGTTCATATTTAGTCGGTGTGATCACTTCAGCCAAAATTATTTGGTTTCTCTAGTCTGATCTGAATTTTCTTCCAAGCTGGTCGGCCTACTTCCGATTTATAAAGGGCACAAAGCCTTGCCTTTGTTCTTCTCATTGCTAATGGTTCCCAATACGTTTTTATTGCGTTAGTTCTATGAGTAAACTTAATCGCTATCCTCTGTATTCTATCTAGATTTTTTCAGTGCGACTTTCTGTATGGATCCCAACATGTCACTCCGTATTCCATGAGAGGGCAAACCAGCGAAAGATACACTTAATCTTTGGTGTTTGTGGACCTTTTGTATAGAATTTGCATTACAAAATTACTTTCACAGGTATTTCCATATTTTCTCACTTCCAGATTTATATGCTTCTCCCACCCTAGTTAACTGTTTTGTTGTTTTTTTTGTTTATAAAAGTTGATTTACTGTGTCTATTTACTGTCTTATTTGTTTATAATTTTTTCAATTTGTTTTCTTTACCACGGTGAAATCAGAGAGCTGGCAAATTGGTATCAGACTTACTTTAATACTTAAAACAAATTTATGTGAAACACTACAAATTTTGTCAGTGAAAAATGAAAAGGAATGCTCTGGAAAAGTCTGGGAAATTTGTTCCAGGAAATAAGTGGTCACTCTTAAGTTCAATGCGATGAGTGAATGCAATCTTGAAGAGTATTTCTAACACTAAACTAATTTGCATCTTTTTAAGATCAATTTTTGTCTTCCATCTCCAGCAGAAGATGTAGCAAGCTACTTTCAAAAATGACCACCAAGTTTTGTTCATTAAACAAGATCACTCAGATTAAAAATGTAAGTTTGGAACAAATTGCTCACAAATGTGCATTAGCCAAGCAAGGATACTGATTGCAAATGTGCAAAGTTGGCTAATATTAAATTAATATAATTTAAGAGCTTTCTAAATATATTGAAACCAAATAAGTTTTGCATTTTGTTTTTAGGTGCTTGTCAGTCCGCAAATCTGCAACTTCACTCAGTGATAATTTTGGATTGACTTTTACAATGCACTCTACAAAGGATTTCTGAGATCGATTTGACATTGATGCTGTTCACAATCAGAAATCCCTTTCTATGTTTGAGTATTCCAGTCAATGATATCACCAACAGATTCAAAATTATTATTGTTATTATTAACTAAATTTCATTAATTTTTTTAATAATTTTTCTAATTTATATTTCTTTTTTCTTCATTTTTTTATTCCAACTATCTGATTTTATATCCATTTGAATCTATTGAAACAAAAGAATATGCTGATTGGTAGTGTGAAATTTTACTAATTTTAAGCCAATTTTCCCTCACAAGTTTACAAAAGTAAAATTTCTGAAACATTGGTCAGATAACATTTTCAAACGTTTTTTGGCAAATACTCATTAACAGGAAAAACATAGTTTCAGAGTTATTACAACCAGTTAGATACTTTTATTTTGTTTAGAAGAGCTCAATGTTTTTCCTTTTTTTTATTTATGCACCCACAAATGTGGTAAGAAATTAATTTGTTTAATTTAGAACACCCTTGCTTTTCCTTTTTTATTGATATTGTATGTCTGTAGATTGCAGGATATACAGATAAATGGTTTTCTGTTCAAATTTGTTCTGTGTGCTGTGCCATATTTTTTCCTGGTATTTTTTGCTATGCAATTCTTTGATATCATTTGCAATTTGATATTTAAGGATCTTAAATTCTAAGCTGACATGAAAAACTACAGGTTTTCTTTCTATTGATGTATGTTTTTTTTTCTCTCATGAAACACTTCATATTCACATTTAGTTAAAGTAACTGTAAGATAAGTATATCTTATAATAAAGTACATATCCAAGGAAATAGTTCATAAATCGATATCAGCCATCTAATGAGAATAAGCTAA